CTTTTGTATAGTTCATTCTAATTCAGCCGCCCTTTTCCCGCCGATTTTGGTGTCTACCATCAACCCTGGTGACACGCCCATAGCCTGTTTGCGGAGTGTCACGCGCATACTAATGCTTTATCAGTAAACTAGGGTGGCAACGAGGATGGCAAAGGCGCCAAATTAGTAAGCCAGGGTAGTCTGGCCGGCCAAAGGACATGAGTGCTGAGGCTTCGCGTGCGCGCGCGCCTCTAATTGGCCAATCACATGTGTGACGTGGCCGAGGCGGGCGAGCAAAGAAAGCGGTACCAATGCGCCTCAACCATTGCGGACATATCCTCCAATCTGCAAAGTCACGTGTAGCTTGTCAACTTAGAAAAAAAGGATTGGGGGGGCATCTACTGCATTTGGGTTGTTTGGTTCCGTGACGAACACCACGCGCCTACGCATTGGAATTTTGGAGGTAACTCTCATAAGGAGCCGGCTAACATCTTAGACGTTCTACTTAAATTGTATTCAGCACCTGCGAAGCGAGAAGTAGACTGGCTGACAAATTCCTTCTTCCTCAAAAACTACTGCTAGAAGAACAACCCGGTAAAAATCGGAAGTCTTCTCCTATCCATGACCAACAAGGAAAGATTCTGACGTCTACGTTTTTGGCCAGATGATAATGTGACATTCCGTTTGGGTGCGCTTTCCAAATCGCCTTTGCGGTCTCGTTCCTTCTCGTGAAGATCAACAAGAATATGAAAGACCCGTATTTATAATAAGCCTCACCACAGAGAGTACCTTGGCAGCCGGTTTTTTATCCTCACACCGTGCTTGTCCGTTGAGTAATTGGTTTAGTCGGTGTTCTACAGAGGTTAAAAAAGATGCAGATCCATTCCAGACGGCACGATATGGAACTCAAAGGATCTTGACAAAAGACATTTGGTGTTGGATTCACCTTTGGTTACTTTAAAGGTGAAATCGTCTTCTCCATGCCCTAAATGGAGAGTTGACACAAAGGTTACATATTAGCGCTTGTCATTCATAAGTAAGCGTCAAAGAGTAGGTGAAGGGCAAAATTAGGGAACGTATACACATGAATGCACGTGGGGGATATCATACAGACACGAATAGAAGGGCGAGAGTATAGAGAAGGGAGAACAGCGATTCCATGTTTACAACCAAGAGGAGTCGGGCGTTCCTTCGTGCGGCTAGAGGTCCGCGGCACTGGGGAAAAATAGCTTAAACTTCGTTACTGACATGCGGAGTTGAGATGTTGATGACAATGCAAGCACCCATGATGTGTTGGGTGGAGAGTTTCAAACTGGCCCAATCCCGTTGGAATGTACAGTTCCACCACCGCCACCACGGGTGCCAGTTCCACTGCCGAGTCGTTGGTCTGCTCGACGTGTGCTCTTACTGTACTCACCGATGAACGATCCGGTCTCGTTAAAGTTACCTAAAATATAGACGGGAGGGAAAGATTCCAAATGGAAACCTCGATCCCCTATAACCTTTTCAAGACAGTGTTTAGTGAAATGACATTCCAAAATGTAGGACAAACAGAGGAGTGTTGTTGAACTAAACCCTTTGTTTATACAGGAAGGTCAATGTCACTGTAGCAGTAGTAACCATGAGAGAGGATCAAACCCAAAAACCTACTCCTCGCTGCTTTATGCTGTCAACTGACATTGGGATGGGTGTGCGCAGGTGGCCGCGACAACCAGCGCGTGTTAAGAGAGCCACTTCAAAGTTCATACGACTTTTAAAGAGGCGGGTGAGTCACCGCCGTAAGGTCGCCATAAAACCCGAACCAACTGACGCGACCAGTCGTCAAACGAAGTGGGCGTTCGCGGGCGCATTTGAGGAGGCAAAAGGACCACATCTACTCGCCTCAATGTGTTGACACTTCAAAATGACTAATTCAGCTCCCCCTTAAGGAGAGAATACGTAAGAAGCCTCGTTAGTTTAACTAAGATGTAGCACATGCAAGTTGCAATTAAAAATATTAACAAATGAGCTAACATAGAAATTACCAGTCTCCCAGGCTGGCAGTGAACGACATTTACCATCATATGCCACCACCAAATGTCTGTTGTAGAAACCCATATTAACACCTGTGTCATTTTCCTCAAGTGTTTACCATGATTAACGGGACGGTGAAAAATTTGCTGTCGCATCGACAAGGGGCTTATGAAATTGCTGCGATGTGAAAACTACGTGGTAGAGTGTTGAACCTTGCCTATGGACGGAACCAACTTCAAAGGGTGCAGTACGCAAAAGAAATACAGGATTCGACAGATTAGTTATGATGCAAATTTCCTTGTTTGCCCCACGATCATGAGAAGGTTTATTCTAGTCCTTTTCTGCGTCAAATTGAAGTGGCGGCCGAAGCCAGCGAGACAGCAAAGGACACACGTTATGCCAAAAAAAACGGACAGAAATTTTTCACCAACCGTCCCCGTCTCCCCCTCAACAAGTACCTAATTCGTCGTGCTATATCTCTTCACTCATTGCCACGAAACCGAAGACGGAGATTGTACAAAGAACACGTTTTGAGGATGATTTTACGCAACGAATTTATGATTTAAATCCAACTAATCACAGCAATGACTCCACAGCAGGGCTGACGTGCTAACCAATGGCACTAAAGCGTGGGGATCATGCCGCATAAATGGGTGAAACTAATTTTCCTGATAAGGAGCCAGTACTGGTTATCAGTAGGAGGTTTGAGAAGAAGGCACGTAATTTCTATAACTTCAGTTATTCAGGAGGGCTACTCCCATTAATGAATGCGGTTGTTTGGCGAGTGAATGAAGTCCACCGCCATGTCTAGCGGCAAAACTGTGCCGCGAGTACTACCGGTGAAGTGAGTGATGTAAACAAGGAGGGCAAGGGCGTGCCAAAACCTGTCGTGTCAGTGATTCAATAAATCACCCACTCATCAAACACAACGGCACCAAACAGTCAAACGGTGAAACAGCACACTGGGAGCACGGAAAATAAAATATTCTTCTATCAGATCAAATTCCTCTCAGCTCCAGTTAATTTTATCTGAAATCCCTCCATGTTATGGACAAACTTGACTACAAGACAGCCTACTGATATCAAATAGACCTGCTGCGACAGAATTGCGTCAACCAATAACATTCATTTTCGTTGACTTTTTCATGGGAAAGAGAATGGCGAGGTAGCTCATCCCGACCTCTCCCACAAACAATGACCGCGGTTTTGGACACTTGGTGGTGGTCTGCCAGTCAAAACCCACTAATCGTGAGGGCAGGAGGGAGACATGAATCCAACGTGCGAACAAGCCGAAGTGACTCATCGGAGCCTTTTGCTTTGTTTTTGAAAGCACAACTACCCACCCAAACGAAGGTGATAAACATCAAGAGAAGACCTCCTAATCGAGTTGGCAGAGATCGGTTGGCATAAAAGACAGAACAGCAGGGAACACGCACCGGAATGACATTTGATGAGCCTGTTAGAACCTATTTCTGCACAAATAGTAAATACTTAATGAATTCAGCCAAGGTACAGGAGAGGACGCAGCCAACCACTGCCTGAACACTTTCATGAAGCCTCGTTAACCCACCACCATCATCATCAGTGCTGCTATCAATCGGTAAGAACCATCGAAGTTGACGGGTTACTTTTCAGCAGATTTCAACAACTAATTATCGACTTTTCAAAGAGCAGCAAGCGGAGGGTTGTGTCGACACTGGTTGTCGTCTGTTTGTTTAAGGACAAGGCGACAAGAATTCCCACCCATCACACTACACAGGCGATGTGGTGAGAGCGCACGCCTCCTCGCAGCTGCACAAACGATACACCATGAGGTTGGCCGATAGCAATCACGAACTCGTCCATGAGGGGACGAGGTAAGATAGCCATACGATTCGCCAAAGGATGTGGAAATAAGGCGTGAGTATATTCGTCCTTTAGTATAGGAATAAGACAGCACAGTTTCCCTTGGATTTGGGCAAACATTTCCAACCTTGGTAAAAGGGAGGAACGTTATTTTGTAAAGAAAGCAGTGATAACTGAATTGTGATCGATCAAATGGGTGAACATGGAAGCTAAAGTAACCAATTACAGGTAAGTGCTACAGTCGTCTTCAATAAGTTTGGGCAGACGGATTCCAGGTGAAGATTTTGCAACTGAACCAGCTGGAGGAGAGCCCTGAAGCCAACAGAAACTGCCTCACTCTATGCATGTGGTCCGAGGCAGCACTGCAGACGACCTCTGTGGACCAGGCTGAGTTTGTGAAGGAACTCTTACAGTAGGAAAATATTTATTTCCCAAGTCTGCAGTGAATCAACATAAATGCCACTAATATTGGAATCACCTACTACCCAGGCTACTGGTCTCTCGGTCTTTCAAACGAGCCCGCTTACAAGCTCGAATGCCTTGTAATGTAGTAAAGAGTAACTAGGAGGCATGACAAAGTCTCCGTCCCTCTGGCGGAATACCAAATCTTACCGAAATGGCAACAAAAGAAGGCGTGTTTAATTTCCTTTTTGGAGAATTTCACATTTGGTAGACATGATAAAAAATAAATTTTCTTAATTTCCTCAAACAAACTTTTGACCACGAACAGACTCCACGACTGTCAAAGAGAAAGGTAAGAGGAGTGGCAGAAAGGCACTGCGGTAGGAGGATGTATGGCCCCATCGAAAGGGCAATAGCCGTTGATCAAGTCGCCTCTTGAATCGTAGGGCAATCAACTACCACCATTGCATGCACGCCCCTTATCACAGTCAGAAGCCTGTATGATTCCGGGACAGAAATGCCACACAATTCACCATTTAGCCTCACGTCCAATGCAATAACTGTAGGAAATTGCATGGCAGGGCTCAGATATCGGGTTACACGGGCGCCTAAGTAGGCCTAAAGGCCTAAATTCAGTGGGTGTCGACAGCACAAATGTCATTGGCTTATTCATCGATGGGTGTGGCCTAGCCGCGACAAGACGATGTGACCAAATGGAAGGGGTGTCTGTTCAACAGGGGGTTGAACTTCAAAATGCAACTTCAAGGCTTTAAGAGAACTTTAAAATAGGCGGACGTTGGAAGAATGGAAATAGGGAGGTAGAAGACCTTACCAGGATCTATGCCATAGTAGTCCAGTTCGCCTTCATCGTCACTGCCCACTTCTTGGAACGTGTCGTCAAGGGATTGATTACAGCCAGGAATTGGGTGCTCGTCTCTGAAACAAAAAGTGACAGTCAGTGAGGCGGCTAGCTGGGTAGTCAGAAACGGAGTTAAATGAGAATGCGGTGACGATTTGATGACGTATACGATGACGATTATTTCACTTGAATGAGGAGCGTCCCGTCATAGAGGAAGTAATTTTTCGTGTGACACTTTTCATGGAGAGGTCAATTCATACTTAATCGACAAAAACTACCGAAGCGTCCAAAACTATGCAACAACATACTGACGCGGATTGTGCGCCCTCTGTACAATGCAGATGTTTGAAGAGAGCAGAGACTTCACTCGAAGAAAGAAGAATATGCACAAGAAAGAGAGACGGGATTTGGAATACATGGTAGGGATGAAAGCGTCATTATTCAAGTCTTTACACACTACCGTAGGTAGTAGTCCGTGAGAGCGTGGATGTATTTGGCAAGGCTGTAGCCACTGATGTGGTGGAAGGCACTAGAGGTCAGAGGCAAATGCGGTGGGAGAACCTTCTGCGCACACATTTGAGATGCATGTAGGAGAGGAAGGCGATTAGAAAACAGCATCCCTAAGGCCACTTACTTCTTCCCTCGCATCCCAATTTCTTATGGACTTGTAAGAAGTGTGGCCAGCCCTTTTTGCCAGCAGTAAATCACCATCATTAATCATGCCGTCCACCTCAGTGGGAAGGAGTGCTATTTCTGGAGTGGATCGAGGAAACTGGTCCGATTCAAGACAAATACGGGATGGAAACGGAAAATAGAAGCTCTGTTCCTGAGAGATTCAAACAGTATCGTTGGAACAAGTCGCTTCAAAAGCGCATTTTGTTCACTTTTTTCATGATTAAATAGTGAAGCTGACCCTCGAAGACATCGCAAATGGGAGTAGGAAAACACACGAGGCTTGAAAGAAGAAACTCCCAAATCAATAGCACCAATGGCGATGACGTTGCGAGATAAATTATGCGAACACAGCCCCAGGTTTATTTACAACGAGAGCCATTCGTTTGTTTACTATCGCGACCAGACACACCATGACGCACCAGCGACGCGGAGGTCCAGGTAGGCTGAAGCAATTGACAACCAATTGAGCCAACCGATGTGCGGAAAATCAGGGCACTTCAGCCTTTTCCTTCATATCATCAACGACCACAGTGACTCACCTTCTTTCATAGGTTTGGAAGGCGTCGCGATCACGGAACTCCTTCTCCGGATCGTTTCCACGTATCCGCTCCTCCCGTTCAACTAAAAAAGGGCGAAGTCATGCCGTAACATGGTGTGAGTCACAGCGATGGAAGTGCTTGTTATTAAAAAAGTAGAGAGTAGCAAATTGTCTCGGTTGGAAGATATCTATAGTGGTTGAAGAAAAGTTGGTGGATAAGTAATTTTGAAGACTTCGTTCAAGGAGATTATGCAAATCCCACTCAAGACTGGGTTAAAGCACCAAGAGAATGTGTGACCTTGGTAGTGAGGGGGCTGAGTCGTCTGTTAGGCCTGAGGTGCAAGCTTAAAAGCAAGTAAATCACAGTCAGGTGAGAAATCTGGTGGCATCAGAAAGAGGCTGATTTAAAAAGCGAATCTCATACGTCTTGCTCTCTAAAGTGGGAGAATTTCCACAGTCAGTGACTATAGAAGCTGCGTTAACTAACCAATGAACTTCAAATTCCCTAAATGGTTAGGAAACCCACTGACAAATGCTAAAATCGGAAGAAAGTAAGGAATTTGTAAATGTCGACGGTCAGTGTGTCCCAGTCTCAAGGGGGGGTCAACCGTGAGTTCACAGTCACAAGACGGTAAACTTTGCTGGGTTACTGATACTTTTTGATTTAAATGAGGGGAGATCATGAACAAATTGGAGGGAGTGAAATAAATTGGGCATGTCTGTGTCCCATAGAAGCGATTAAACAATTGAAAAAAATTGGAGAAAAACTCACGCAGGTAGGTTTTCCCCTTATTGCGCATGACAATGCAGACAGCGAGGATTGCAACGATGAGTAGAATCAGCACGGCAATCACCACCGCCACAATCCACGAGATGCTTGACACAGCAGCTTGGAGGGGAGGAAGGAGGGAATGAGTCAGCTAGGACGCAGGTCAGGACAACAGACAGGGAGGTAATTATAGTACACACGTAGTCACGTGAACGTAGAGGTCGTGTAGACACTTCAAGACGGACACCACCTCCTCTAGCAGGCATGCTTGAAGTAGTAATCAAAAAACAACAATTTCTAGAGAAATAGAAATCCAGACCCCATGGCTAGGTGCGCAGAGGAATGTTCATTGGAAAGGTCAGTGGGTGACGCACACAAACGAATAGAAACTAGGTGTCTAAAGAGTAAATAATACTTGCTAAATCCATGCTATTGTCAACTTTACTAGCCCGAAGATATGACCTCACGCAAGTTGGTCGTTGTGTGCTGGAGAGATTGGAGACAGCGCTGCATTCCTCCCCTTGAATTTTCACACCGGGACACGCTGAATCCACAGCCTCCCCTTCATCCGATCACTAGGATGGACTAATGACCTCGATGCGAATATTCTGTCATTCAACTATCTAAGCAGTCGGAAAGTGGCACCGAACACTTGCCTATTCAACAAATACAAGGGTTTTAAAACGAGCATGCTCGTAATACCGCCTGCCAGTCCAAGGCATAGGGCACAGAAGCAGCCGCATGGGTGACCTCAACAGCAAACCAATCACGGAAAACGAGTCACATAGCAAGGGGAAATTTAGCAGAAAGAGCACGCACGCATACATGCACGAAAGACCGAATAAGGAGAGAGCGGGATAGGGGCGCCCTTTGGCTATAAAACTGGCATTGCCGCCACCGCGCGCCGAGGCTCAACCACTACATTTAACGGTCGTTACTGTAAATGCGGCAGCAGGAGCAACGGCCGTCACCTTCATTAATTGTGTATGCGAGGAGCAATAAAATCCAACGGGTTAACTGGTGCGAATTCCCACTTCCCTAAAAATAAACGGCTACGAGGGGCGCCCAAGTCCACAACCTCAGGAAGCGATATCACAGCTTGTTCAAGCGCATAAATTCCAGGGAGTGTTTGAGTCACCTGACCACAAGAAGCGCAACCACTTTACAGGCTTTCAATATTAGCATATGTAAGTAACTCTGGCACCTAAACCGCGTAGGGTGAAAAACTAGCGATGCATAGGGTGAAGGGGGGAAAGTTCCTGATTGCCACAGAGATCAGGTGAAACAGGCATAATAAAGTGCAGAACAAAAAACCACGGGATGACCACAATGTGTGTGTTTACTTAAGCGTCCACAAGGACGTGTGCCGACAATACATAGGACTCCATTCACCAGTAAGCACAACGGCTCAGTGAAGAGGGGGACGACGCCCATTGTGCCGTTTTGATGTAAAAGGGGAAGGGTGAAATGCTCCGAAAATTCCCAAACCTACCAAGCTTCGATTTGGAGGGATACTTGCGAATATGCGCCGTGAGCATAGCGTGCAGAGCGGGATCGTTTTTCGTGTCGTAGTAAGGTGTCTCATACATGTAACCTGCAAACAGATCTGTGTCCGGTCCAAATACTCGGAAGCGACAGCTTAAATCCACATTGGCAAAGAGTTCATCGAAGAGAGCATTATCTTGCGCGATGTTCAGCACCACCTCACGGTTTAAGTACTTCAGGAAGGTCAGTCGGTTGTCTCGCGGGTCTAGACGCTGCAGATCTTGTCCATCCAACTCCCAGGTCTTGACTACGCGTAGACCGCTGTAGGGTGCCATCTCAATATCGCAGTAGAAGCGATGGGTAGTGTGGTTGAAGCAGTCCTCCACGCAACTGTAATCCGACAATTGACGAATGACATCCGGCTTGGCTAAGATCAAAACGAAAAGCGAGAGTTGAACCACAAATGTGATCCCAGACATGATTAGAGCGTCCCCAGAAACTTACGCAAAACCCGAATGAGGGTGTTGGTGCGCACCGAACCGAGGGCGTTGGTTACGACCATGGTGACGATGTGAGAAGAGCCATATGGCGAATTGGGGGCAAAGGCAAGATCGCGGACTGTGTAGCGAATGGAGGTATCAGAGGGAAACTCGATTTCCGGATTGAGGTCGCCCACATAGGGAAAAGACTCTTGCAGAAGACGCAGTGACTCCCGGTATCTCACCGATGATACCGCGTCAATTTGAATACCGTTGATGAGGAGGGACTAGACAAGGATAAGTAAGTTAGCAACTACCGAGCCAACAAAAGAAGATTTTTAGTCTAGAAGGCATACCCGAGAGGTAAGCCTGCCACTGAACTCGGCAACAACTTGGGCCTGATTCCCCTGCGGTACAATGAGGTGACGCGGGGGAGCCTCCTTGATGGTGGGTGGCTGTTCAACACTCACCTCGTACTTGAAACGCAATTGCCCATAGGGACTTTTGAGGGAGAGAACATACGTCCCTACGACGGTTCAAGAGATGCGTGTTAGTAGATGCCAGCAGGATAGAGTTTAAGTTACAGTGTCTGGACTAACCAGCATAGGAGGGCTTAATGTCCTGAGGAAAGACCAGGGAATGCCGATTGGATGTAAATTGAATTGGAAGGGAGCTGTCGTCTTTAGTCCACTTCGCAGAAACCGTCCTGGGGTTGGCTGTGTAAAAGGCGTTCAGGGTAATAATATCGCGAGCATGCTAAAACACAAAATCAGATAGAGCGGGTGATTCAACAGATGCGAAAAGTGATCAAGATGAGCAAACGTACCCATCCACTGCGTAATGCGACGCGGTTATGCTGTGGTGATCGTGGAATGATCTGGTTGGGGTAGGTACCAGGAATGTACGTGAAAGGGACTGCCTTTCCATCGTTATCTTGGAAATAGGCAGAGAAGATTTTATTGCGTACGATCGAGGTTGTGCAGAGAATACCAATAGGGCGCCAGTCCTTCACCAAATCATGGATGATAAGAGTACCTAGCAAAAGGTCGCAAGGCGATCAAATGAAACGGATTTAACAAAAATGAAAGCGTGAATACTGGGCGCTTACCGTTGGAAAGAACGGTGTGCTCAAAGTACTCAGCGATGGGTTGAGAACGATCGTAGCATTTCCGGATCTCCAACTGGCTGTCAGCCTCGGCTTCACAGGCGACCCAATCGTAGGGGACGGGAAAAGTTTGTTTCGCCCAGTTGGGTAATTCAACGTGGTCCATGGAACCGCCGCACTCAAGTGACATAGGAAAGCTGCTACCAACGATGGGACCACGTAGGATAGGGTCAAGCGACTGTCTCTTAATGAAAGCTGAAGTTGAGATGCCAATAACAAAAGGGGTAATTTTTGAGCCAATTAACAAACAAATGTACGTGATCAGAACAAGAGAATACGAAGAGATGGTACAGTTTGAATGTAAAATGCCCATCAAAAACAAGAGTTTTAGAAACGAAAGACAGCATACTCCAAAACACAAATGTTATGCCCAACGTTACTTAAACAGAAGGAATTCACCTGTTGTATAGGAATCCATGTCCTGAACCTCGATGGAGTTTGATTGGATGACACCATTACTATTGCCAAGACGACAGAAATATGTGGCATCTAGCGGAAACTTGTCTCGACCCCAATTCGACGTAAAAATATAACCTGAAAAACACCAGGTAAGAAACTCAGAAACAACAAACAACCATTATAGATGTCTCCCATGGACTTAAATTTGAATTTATCAGAGAGCAAGTACGAGCTTCCGAGCGCATTGTCACACGTTAATTTCCGAGAAAATGGTGTCTACAAAAATCAAAAAAACAAAGATGTACCTCAAAGCACAATTGCGCGCTGGTAATTGGTGAATCCTTGGATAACTTGTCGACGACACAATGAAACTCTAACTTGGGTGGAGCGTTATTAATTAGCTCCACAATTTGAATCGTCACTCGTGGAAACATTCCATCAATAACGATAGGCTTATTTGTGCCAAAATACGAAAAAGAACCATTTCTAAGAGTTGCAGACTCGACCTTGTGAAACTTTAAAAACGGCGTGCCATTTTCTAGGAAAACATAAATTCCGAGCCAAAAAAAGATTACCTCCGTACGATAAACCGCATGTGAGAAGAGCGAATAAGGCGAACAACTGTACTTTAGTACTTGCATTCATGACTATCAAAAGATCAACAAGACAGACAACAGGAAGCTTTCGTCTTTGTGGGCCCAATGGAATACAATTGTAATGGTCTAATTAAACAAGGTAGGGTCATCGGTCCAGGAAAGGCAAAATTGTTCCTAAAAAGCAGCTTTTGAAGAATGAAACAATTTTTCGACCGATGGTTTAAGCAACTAATTACCTGGTCCATCAGCGCGTAAGCCATTACTTTAGGGGTTATTTATTCTCAAGGAATAAAACACGTACTCTTTCTACGTCTGCATGGGTAATAAAATGGGAAATATTACTTGATATGTGACTCACTTTTTGACCATATATTCTTACTGCGTCTTTAATAACTTTTAAATAAGCGGGTCTATTTGATGGTAAAATATTTATTAGTTAGTCAACGAGAATCAATTCAGGTTTATGGGGATCGGGATTGTAATCTCTTCCCGACCTTGGAGGATTCTAACTGCTCCTCTATCACAAGTATCAATTTGCTTACCCCCCTCCTGTTTTAAAACACACATTTTAACCAACATAAGTGTCGCATAGTCCCCTCATCAGTTTTTAAGCTATACTTGTCGTAATACGTCTTCTGCTTGATATGAGGGTCGTAAATGTCGGCGCGCGAGGTTATAGGCTTTTTTATACCTTCTTCCAGTCTCAGTACGTACTCTGGCACATTGTTGGTTGCTACTTCCGCGTTTGATGGGGAGATGTCGGAAGACACGCTCATTTTACGATCTGCGAGCATCTTGAGCGGAGAAGTACCAGTTGGTTTATGGACTACAGCCCTGTACACGAAGAGAGCACGTCCCAAGCTAAATTTCCACACTTCCAATCGTGCGTTCCTAGTGAGAGCCTTCAGTAGTCCGATAAGAGTGCTATTTGATCTCTCTACCTGTCCACTGCCTTGCGGATATCTGGGTATTGTGCATGTCTTCCAGATCCGAAAGTTTTTACATAGTTCACCGAAGGGTCAGCTTTTTAAATTATGGCCTTGATCACCATGAACCGATTCGGAAACTCCATGATGGTGATTATAGCAAAGGAAGAAAACTGGGGAGATGGGGGCTTTTGAAGTTACTGCAAGTGATATAGGCTCGGCAGAAATCTAGTAATTCTGGTGCGAGCGAATACCACCAGTATCGCTTGCCCTAGGTATCTGACATCTTCCTTTCGCCCACACGCCCCACTTACTCGTGTAACTATTGGAGGACTCTTTGTACCAGCGAGCCAGGGCGACTAAGCGCTTAGGAGACCCGAAGTTTTCTTGGTATCATAAAACCTAGTTCTCTAGAGAGAGTTTCGACCATTTTTGCTACATCCATCTGGACGCTGCCATCTCCTGCGCTGTGGATTTTAAGAAGCTCCGTGTTGGGATCGGTGCTCTGAGTATTTCTCCTCACTCTAAAATACGGTACCCACTACAACACCACCGACTCCTGCTGCGACTGGTCTGCGGGACAGAGCATTTGCATTACTGTGCGTGACCCTTTTCTGTACTGTGCTGTGAAATCGGATGATCGCAGTTCCTCTTATCAGCGTGCAACTCAACGGTCCATCTCCCTTATTGTTTGTAACCAGGCGGGTACCTGGCGATCCGTTCTAACTATGACCTTCCTCGCTATTAGCTAGCGTCTGAAGTGTCTGACCAACTTGCGGATAGCGGACAGCTCACGCCGTGTTACGCTTTTCTGTCTCGTTTTTTTGCTGAGACTAATACTCGCGTGGGCGATGACTTGCTCCCTTCTCTCCTTGTCCCTTTGTGAGAGTACACCGCCAATGGCCGTAGCTCGAGTCCGTAATTAGTACACACGGTGGGGCGCTCGATCTGAAGTTGGGTAGCGCTAGAATCGGTGCGGAGCAGAGCGTTAGCTTCAGTTCTTCAACCGCTTCATTAAGCTTCTTCTCCCACTTGAACTTCTTTTTTATCAGTTTGTGCAGCGGCTGGCTGGTAATCTTAGCAAAGTGCCTATAGTAATTTGCCAAACCTAGGAAATTGCGGATCTCCGTCTAATTAGTTGGTGTTGGCCAGACAATCACTTGTTTAGTACGATCTTCGGTGACTGCCATCCCATCTGACGAGACTGCATGCCCCAGGAATGTAATCGAGTGCTGCTAAACTTGGTATTTCTTTGGATTCAGGGTCAACTCCGCGTCTCGCAGACTGTCTAACATTCGTATCCGGTTGGGTATTATGCCCTTAGACGAGAACATCATCCAGATAAAATACACGCTGCCTGGAAATAAGCCAATTAATGCGGTTTGCATTTCGCGTTGGAAGGTGGCTGCGCCGTTATAAGGTCCGAAGGGCATTGTCTGAAAGTCATACAGCCCGTTTGATAAATATAAAAATGTTCACTCTGTTCTTTTCCTCCACTTTCACTTATCAATATCCTGATTTTAAGTCGAGTGTAGTGAACCGTTTTGACCCATGCAGGCAGTCTAACAAATTGTTTATGTGGGGTAAGGGGAATGCATCCACCTTAGTTACTGTGTTCAACTTCCTACAGTCGATGCACAATGGTGGGCTACCGTCATTCTTCTTTACCAGCGCCATCGGCGAGGCCTGTGATAACTTGGGTCGTTCTATGACCTCATCGCGAATCAACTCTTTGACTAGAAGGCTCAATTCTTCCAGCGAAGGAGGCGGAATACGTCTGAGTGGTTGCCAGATAAATCTAGCTTCGCCGGTACCTATTGTATGCTTGATGCTATTTGCTCCTCCCAGATTAGCGCCTTGCCATGCGCATATATTCGCATACCTCGCACCTTGCAAAGTCATTTTCTTTCACTGTCGGTGGCATGAGTCAGCCGCGCGCAGAGGTCATCTGAGTCGTTCATGAGTGTGACTGCGGTCTCAAAAAGGGCGGGTCTTTCCTTGGTAGCAAAACATTCCGGGTGGAAAAGGTGCCTTTCGCCAAGTTTAAGACAGCTTTGAAGTTACGCAGAAAATCAGCACCATTAACCACGTCCAAAGCCAGTTCTGGACATGCAATAAATTCCACTGTCCAGGTTTCTTTCCCTACACAGACTTCTAATGACGTCCCTCCTTTTACCAGCATCTTCCTTCCTTCTGCTGAACGCAATTTTGTGGTCGACAAAGTGAGCCTAATCTTGCTGCAAAGGNTGGGAAAGGTCCAAAAATTTGCTACTCATTTAGCTGCACCAGAGTCAAGAGATAAACTGCATGGATACCCTTC